CGTCTATAATCTCAGCACTTTGGGAGGCCAAGGTAGGCAGATCACTTGAGCCCCGGAATCTAAGACCAGCCTAGGCAACATGGTGAAACCCCATCTCTACTAAAAGTAGAGAAAATTAGCCAGACCTGGTGGTGCATGCCTGTAGTCCCAGCTACTCAGGATACTGAGGTGTGAGGATCGCTTGTACCTGGGAGGCAGAGGTTGCAGTGAGCCAAGATTGCACCACTGCACTCCAGCCTGGGTGATGGAGAAAGATCCTCCAAAAAAAAAGAAAAAAAGAAAAAAAGAAAGAAAGAAGGAAAGAAGGAAAGAAAGAAAGAAAGAAAGAAAGAAAGAAAGAAAGAAAGAGAAAGAGAAAGAAAGAAAGAGAAAGGAAGGAAGGAAGGAAGGAAGGAAGGAAGGAAGGAAGGAAGGAAGGAAAGAAAAGAAAGAAAAAGTAAAAGAAAAGTGAAAAGCACCACTGATTTTTGTGTGTTGATTTTGTGCCCTGAAAATTTACTGAATTTATTTATCAGATCTAACAATGTTTTAGTGAAGTCTCTAGGTTTTGCTAGCTGTATGATTATGTTGTCTGAAAAGAAGGGCAATTTTACTGCCTCTTTTTCAATTTGGATACCTGTTATTTCTTTCCTTTGCCTGATTTCTCTGGGTAGCACCTCCAGTACAACATTGAATAGAAGTGGTAAAAGTGTATATCTTTTTTTGTTCCAGTTCTTAGAGGAAAGAATTTTAGCTTTTTCCTCATTCAGTGTGATGTTAGCTGTGGATTTGTCATAGATGGCCTTTATTATATTGAGATACATTTCTTCTATGCCTAGTTTCTTGAGCATTTTCATCATGAGGTGTTAACTTTTATCAAATGCTTCTCCATCTCTGAGATGATTATATGGTTTTTCTTCTTCATTTTCTTGATGTGATGTACCATGTTGATTGATTTACATATGTCGGCCCATCCTTGCATTCCTGGGATAAATCCCCGTTGAACTTGGTGTATTATATTTTTGATGTGTTGAAAGATTTGGTTTGCTAATATTTTTATTGAGGATTTTTGGTCTATATTCATCAGAGATGTTGGTTCGTATTTTTTGTTGTTGTTGTTGTTGTTGCATCGCTGTTTGGTTTTGGTATCATGGTTGAGTTGGCCTCAGAGAATTAGTTAAGAAGTTCCTCCTCTTCAATTCTTTTGGAATAGTTTGAGGATAATTGGTATTAGATTTTCTTTGTAAGTTTCATAGATTTCAGGAATGAAGTCATCTAGTCCTGGACATATCTTGTTTGGAGACTTTTTATTACCGATTAAATTCATTACTCTTTATTGATATGTTCCTCTTTTCTGTTTCTTCCTTATTCAGTTTTGGTAGGTTGTATGCATCTCGGAATGTACTCATTTCCTCTAGGTTTTCCAGTCAGTTAGTATATAGCTGTTCATAATAGTCTCTGATGATCTTTTGTGTTTCTGTGGTGTTGGTTGTAGTGTCTACTTTCTAATTTCTAATTTTATTTATTTGGGTCTTTTCTTTAGGTTACTCCAGCATAGAACCGTATTTTAATCTTTTTTTTAAAAAAAAACAAATTTTCATTTCATTGATCCATTATATTTTTTTCTTAGTTTCTATTCTGTTTAGTTATCTGATCTTTATTACTTCTTTTCTTTTACTAATTTTTAGTTTAGTTTGTTGTTGTTTTAATAATGCCTTTAGGCACATCACTATATTCTTTTGAACTCTTTCTGCTTTTTTTATGTAGGTGTTTATTGTTATATACTTTCCTCATAACACTGTGTTTTCTGTATCCCGTAGGTTTTGGTATGTTGTATTTTGATTTTTGTTTTAAGATACTTTCCTCTTTAATTTCTTAATTGACACAGTCATCATTCATGAGTATTTTGTTTAATTGCTATATAACTGTTTCCAAAGTCCTTGTTACTGATTTTTAGTTTCAATCCATTAAATCTGAAAAGATACTTGATATGATTTGAATTTTAAAAAACATGTTGAAGTTTATTTTGTGTCCTATCGTATGGTCTATCCTAGAGAGTGTTCCATGTGCTTTTGGGAATAATGTGTATTCTACTGCTGTTAGATGAAATGTTCTGTAAATGTCTGTTAGGTCCTTTTATTTAAATGCAGCTTAAATCCAATGTTTGTTTGTTAATTTTCTGTCTAGATAACCTGTCTAATGCTAAGAGTGAGATGTTGAAGTTCCTATTATTGTGTTGTATTCTTTATTTTTCTCTATTTCAGTTCTAAGTTTGCTGTTTGGGTCTTTTTAATGATTTCTATCTCTTTGATAAATTTCTCATTTATGCACTGAATTGCTTTTCTGATTTATTTGTATTATTTCTCTGTGTTCTTTTGTATCTCACTATTTGTTAATATCATTTTTTCTGGAATTTCATAAATTTATTTTTCATTGGAATCTATTGCTAGAGAAATACTGTGTTCCTTGAAAAGTATGATATTTCCTCAATATTTTTTATGTTGTTTGTGTTCTTACATTGATTTCTGTGCTTGCAGTGTAAGGGTTGCTTCTTCCAATGTTTTCAAGTTGCTTTCATAGGTGCGGGCTTTATTCTGAAGATGTATCTATTATGGTAGTTGGTGTCAATCCATTTGTGTTACTATAAAGTAATACCTGAGACTGGGTAATTTATAAAGGAAAGATATTTATTTGTCTCATGGTTCTATAGCTGTACAAGGAGCATGGCACTAGCATCTGCTTCTGGTGAGTACCTCAGGAAACTTCCAATCATGACAGAAAGCAAATGGGGGAGGGAGGAGGGTGTCATATGGCAAAAAAGGGAGCAAGAGAGAGCAAGAGAAAGTGTGAGACTCTTTTGAACATCCAGCTCTTGTGTGAATAGAGTGAAAGCTCACTCATTATCTCAGAGAGGACATCAAGCCTTTCATGAGTCATCTGCCCCCATGAGCCAAACACCTCCCATTAGACACCATTTCTAACATTGAGTATTAAATTTCAACATGAGATTTAATAAGAACAAATATCCAAACTACATTAGGTGGGTACATTGGCTTTGATTCTGGATGTGTATAGTAGTGTCATCTCCATGTGTTTTCTTAAACTATAAACAGTATTATTGGTGCTGTGATTTCTTCAATGGCTTAAGGTGCAGTTTCAATGCAGGTTATTATAATATTTTACTGGGAATTGTTATGCCAGGTGGGCCCCTTGTCAGACCACAGTGGCTTCAGTGGCTGGCTGCTTGTCATTGGGCCCTTGAGTGGTATACACTGCCACTGGTTTTACCTGGTCAGGTGAGCTGATTCTTGGGCCACTTGCTTAGATGCTGGAAGTGGCAGTAATGCGAGGGGTAGATGGGTGGGTGCTTGTGACCCTGGGCAAAATGCATGGCATAGGCAATGGCAATAACATGGTCGGACAACCCTCTGACTGTCAAAAGTGGTCCATGCTGATTCTGGTGGTGGCTCTGTGGGCCACTCCCCAGGTCCGCAGGTGGCATGTGCAGGTGGGTTCCAGCTACTTTGATAAGGGCAGGTAGAGTGGTACCAACCTCAGGTTCTTGTGAGGAATGCACAGGTACAAACCATGTTGCCTTGGATGGGCTATCCCCAAGTCTTAGATGGCATGCTTTGGCATTGATGGGGGCAGAGCATGGGCAGAACTGGGCCAGGTGCACCTGTCCTCAGGTCCCATGTTGGTGGGTGCAGGTACTGGCTGTGGTAGACAGGTGCAGTGTTATCCCCTTTCCCTCAGTGGAATGCTCAGGTTGGGGTGGCAGTGGCTGTGCTATGTCCCTGCTATTGAAGAAAGTGAGCAACGTTCCTTCCAATGCCAGCAACCATAAGTAGGTGACTAGGGAACATGTACTAAGACCCCAGTTGTTGACTACAGGTGAGGTAATCTGTTCCCAGGTCCCTCGTTTATGCACAATGGCTCTGTTGCTGCAGGGGTCACTGCAAGTGGCTCATGATTCAGCCCTGGCAGCAGCAGCCAACCACAATGGTGGCTGCAGGTAACTGATGTCAGTGGGGCCCACAGGATGTGGAGATGCAGAATTCTTTAGTCTCCAGGGCAAAATGAAGTATGGTGGGGGCTTATTTCTCGAAATGGTGCCTTGCTGTAGCTGCTTATGACTACGGGAATTATGTGGGACCCAGTGTGAGCTCCCTTTCTGAAGCAGTGTCATTGCATGGTTCCCATGCACCTTCCTATGATAAGTCTCAGGGCTCAGAAGAGTCAAGGGGCTCTCCTATGGCAGGAATTGCAGGAGTTTTCTGTGGTAACATAGACCTCTGGGGTTCTCTCACTTACTGTATCCCATATTGAGAGCCTCTCCAGGCTTCTAGGCAATCCTGGCCAGTCAGGCTGCCTCACTTCTGTTTCCTTCCTTGCTTAAGGTTTTTTGTATCACTTCTCAGTTGAATTCCAGTGTCCTGTCTTATATGAGATATTTGAATTATCTGCTTGCTGTTTTGTTTCTTCTTTATGGAGAAGGTAAGTACCAGAGGCCTCTAGTCAGCCATCATGAAGCCTCTCCTGCATTTGACTATTAATATGTATGTTTTTTAACATTTAGTTTTCTCAATAAGAAGTATACCAATGAGCCCATATAATTTCTCTATAAGAAATAGTCTACCTGTAAACTAAGGCAACTAGTGATAGAAATCTCTACTCTATAACCTTACTTGATTAATGAATCCAAGCAAAGTTCTATTTTAAAAGTTCTTATTAATTATGACTCATTAGTACTAGTCAGTGAGATTAATTCAGAAGACCAAGATGTGCTACTCTTGTCACTGTAGCATAAAAACTTTCTTCCAAGTAAGTGGTTCCCAAACCTGGCTGCATATTTGAATTATCTGGAGAGAATTTTAAAAATACATGCTTTGACCTCACCTCAAAATCATGGAAGATGGGTTCTGGACATCAGTATATCTTTAACAATTCAAAGATAATTCTAAATAATGCTGCTTTATTTAAGAACCTCTGCTACAAATAATTGAGTTTAATTTACGGGTTGAAATTCCAGGGAAGTACAGCCATATAATTCAGTTTTCCATAGGGTGGCTGAGAGACAATCATGTAATGTCCATACTCCAAATTCTTCGTGTAAGATGTCAACTGCATACATAATATTTTGCTGCTCTCAGTCTCTACCGTCACAATTACATGAACACCAATCAGTCTATATCTTCACAATCTTCCCAGAAACATCTGAGCCCCTATAATGCATTTATTGTGTGTTTAAGAAAGGTCTCTCTTAACCTCCAAAGTAGATTTAATAATTCCCTCTTATTTCTGTCAATTTCATCCGTTGGCAAGGTCTATACTATTCATGAAGGAAGCACCATTCTTGATACCTGAAAAAGATGATCATAAAGGAAACTAAATGTTATTACAATGCTTTTGAATCATGTTCCTTTTAAAGTTACCAGAGTTACTTTCCGGAGCTACTAACTTTATTCATAAATATTAAATACAAATTCTACAATTCCCACCACCTGCACTGCTGCACCACTCAAGATATTGTTAGTGCAATTGAATAAATCATTATCTCTTTCTTAAACTTGGATATGCAGCAGTATCAGTTCAGTTTCATTGATTACATACATATCTAATTAAATACTAATAGGTATCAGGCTCTTTGTTAGATGCTGCTCAGTAACCCTGTTTTTACAGAAAGCAACACTTGTAGTATAGCATCTACCTTCTGTTATTATCACAGAAATAACCTGACAACCTCACTGTCCTGCCCTGAATGCATCCTACCCATGGAGAGAGAACTCCTATTTCCACTTTTGTGACACATTTTATTATTCTGGTACAAAGGCAAGATTGAGTTGTTATTGGAATCTTCTCACAGCTATTTGGTTTGAAAATAGTTTTTTTTTTTTTTTTTTTTTTTTTAACTCAGTATATCTTTAACAACATTTCACTCTACTTATTCCCTAGGGAGTTAGAGGTGAAGAATGTGTGTATTTGTGTGGAAAATGGGTGGGAGACTTTTATCCTAAATGACATGCACCATGGTCTGTTAAATATCTTTCATTTTCTTTCTCTTAAGCTTAAGGCACTGCACATAGAAAACATTCCTCACTATGTGTTCCACTTTTTTGGGGAGTTTCCTCAATCCCTCATGCAGATAGGACTCCAAGAGAAATTTTACGGACCATAGAAAAATTGAAGTGGGCTCATGATATTATACTCACTATAATTTAAGCAATTATTCAATTTATCAATTTTACTCTATTTGTAATTTAAAATTTCAGTATCATTTTCAATTTCTAACAATATACTTTGTTTTTCCAAGGAGCAATTTAAAATTATTTTGTAACACTATATGACTCGTGTCTTAATAAATATTGATTTTCTTTAGGAAATAATGCTCAAGTTTTTGACTGATTATATTCCATCTGCAGGTCAGTCATAAGAATGTATCAGAGAGAACTTTAGTTTCTCAGGAAGTTCATAAGTGCGACACACATAAATCATTAAAAGTGAGTGATAACTCATCAGTACATCTTATCTGGTATTTTTAAAAGAGCATTTTTAATCATTATCAACTCTATATTAGTGTTATCAAATGTGGGGATGCATCATATATATAATCTTTACATTTCTATTATTAAAATCTATAATAATAATGAACACTATGGACAGAGTAAAGTCTTTTATTTTGAAACCCAAGAAATGCAATGTATAAACAGTAAAAGGCAGTGGGAGAGCACCAGCCTCTGCATTGGTACAATCCTTTACATTTTCTCTTAGGTCTTGCTGATCATGGGATTGGATCAAAAATTCTTAACAGCATGAAATAATCAACATTCTGAACTAGAGAAAGAGCAAGATTGGTAGGCAGAAAAATGTTATGTAACTATGAAGAGAGTTATGAAATTTGATGATAATCTCTCTTTTCTTATAGTTCTATTAAATGCATATATGTAATAATTATTAAATAGCATAATAATGTAGATAACAATTTTTTTAAACCCACCCTCTACTAAACTTCCTGGATGTAATTTATAATACGTAAATTTCTTACGTTTAAAAATACAGAAAAAATATTACCTTCAGAAATAACAGAAATTGTAACGCTTTCATTTCCCCTTACATTTAGATATCTCAAATATCTCACTCAAAGAAGAAGATCCCGCCATTTGCAACAACAATTATTAAGTAAAACAATTCAGAGAAAGATGAATACTGCGTGATCTCGCTTTTATGTAGAAACTGAAAAAAATAGAACTCATAAAGGCAGAGAGTAAAAAGGTGGTTGTCAAGGGCTGGTGGAAAAGTGGATTGGGAAAATGTTGGTCAACTTTCAGTTGTAAGATAAGTAAGTTATGAGACTAACAAAGATCATGGTGAGTATAGTTGACAATATTGTATTGTTTATTTGAAATTTGATAAGGAAAATTTTAAGTATCCTACACAAACACACAAACACACACACATGCACATGCACACACACAAATTGTAAGTGTGTGTGGTGATGCGTTAATATATACTATACATACACTATGCATACAATTGGTATGCAATATATACATGTGTACATAATATATACAATTTTATGTCAACTAAATATGTTTAAATAAATTAATCTGACTAAATATACAGTACAAATTATAACAAACTGCACAGTTCTAAAAATTTTCTCCAATTCACTTCAAACTGTTCTTTCATGAAAGCTCTTTCTTCTCATTCCAATATCCTGTATTATAATCTTAGCAAACGTTCACATAAGTACTTTCTGACGGAATGTACCACGTAGTGATAAAAGTAGATCTATTTTTATTTCACAAAATTCTGTAGATTATCCTTGTCAATTTTTAGTTCGCCATGATAAATTATTAATTATATACTTCCACTTTAATGATTATTTATTGTTAAAACAGTGTCTATCACCCAGATAGGTAAATTTTTTAAAAAGAAACACTACATGGTTTTAGTGCTAGTTAAGTTCAAGTGATAGAAATTGAAAATAAATGGTGATAAAATGTAAATGGTGCTAGAAAATAAATGGTGATAAAAAATAGTATTACCCCTTGAGGTTACAACAAAATTGTAGTTAAATTAAATTTTACCATTGCTTATATCAATTTAATAATACTCTTTGCAGATAAGGTAGATTTTCACAATAATGGTCTTGACTAAATTATCTTTCCTATGTCTACAACCCAGTAAGTTGATTGCTGCTGAGTAGCCATTTTCCCACTCCTAATAACTGAACTGGCCTTGTGACTCACACAGACCAACACAAAGTTGCAAAATGATGCTTTTTCACTGTGAGGCCTTATGAGGTCTTATAATTTCCATTCTTGCTTCCTTTCAATGATTCACCCTAAAGGTTTTCTATCAATTGCATGAGTCTGCTGAGACAGAATACTAGCACAACAAGTCAGGCAAAGTGTACATATCATTCGCAAATAGTCATCAGGGATAAACAAGTCCTAGGATCCACTGCAAGCTGAGCTCCAAGGTTCAGGAAAACTGCCTAGGTTGAATAGAGTCTCGTCTGTGCATGCCTCACAATACACTGCTGCTGAGGGACCTGAAAGCACTCCATTGTGGGTTTTACACCTTGGAAACAACTTGTCACACTGAGTTCAGGTTTGCAAAACATCCTGTTCTGAGAGGAATAAGGACATAGTCCGGGTTATTTCGGACAGCTCCCCTTTATCTCCAGATGTTGCATTCTTGGTAAATTCTGAGAACTGCAAGCCAGAGGGAGAAGAGCTGAGGAAGACTTAGAAAAAATAAAATATCTGCGCCTCTTTGTATTCCTAGAAATAGTGATTGAAACAGGCCTTTGTTCACCATAAGAATACATTTGGGGAAGAAATATTTTTCTCTCACTTTTGTATTTGGTTTTCATGTTATGACATTTTTGCTTAATTGACTATAAAGTCAATAATCTGTTCTTTAATGGAATATCTTATACTCCTAGAACTACACTTCTAAAAACTATAATCTAACAATTTGAATTATATTTCTGTAGAAATTTTTGATGATGGACATCATTATATTATAGTAGAAATCTCTCTTGCTATGCTCAAGAGAAAATGTTGATGAGTCTGGATAGCTAACTGGGAGGAAGAAAAATATCAAAAACATTCTCCTTTGTGGGGAGGTTTTCTGGATGATATAAATCAGGAACTCACAAGGAAGCGCCCCTTTCAAGTAAAAAATTAGATTATGAGGTATTGTGACCCTGAAAACCAGTGTCTGTTTTATGGTAATTTATTTTATTTTCAGAACTGTGTTTTGAGATGCCATTTTTGCCTGATGCTTTATATATCCATATTAGGAAAGATGACCTTTTTACATATTCCAGATTAGTTATAGAATACTAAAAATAATCAGTATAAATGAATATGACAAAATGTCATGAGTGGGAAGAAATACTTTAATAATACTTTATGAGTTAAGTTCAGGTAAAGTAAATGTAAAACTTCTTTGAGTTTAAGTTTCTTTGTTAGCAAAGTTTTGGAAAGACATAGACAGGATCTCAGACAATAATATAATATATGTGTAAAATTAAAATGATTATTTAGAGATAAAACCTTAAGAGCGAAATACAGGAATACGAAATATTAAGCTTAGTGTGGATTTTAAAGCTACGTTAAAATTGACCAGGGAAACAAAACTAAACTGCGGAGTACTTTCTCATCCTGGCACTGGATTCTCTTCCTATTGAATAAGGAGTAAGTATTCATATTCTCAGATTCTATAATAAATATTGGCAAGACATATAAGACGTAAAGTCAGAGCATTTATTTATAAATATCCTAATAAATATAATTCTCATGTCTAATCTTTTCATTGGAATGCACAATAGAACTGTCTCCTTCCTGAATTTTCACAGTATGTAAATGATGCAATTATCACTTCAAGCAGACACCATTTTTTTTTTTTTTTTTAGTTATGTCATGGCAAAAACAGAATAAAGCCAAAGCTTCAAAAAGTTTAATAGTTAGCCATGTATAAGAAGTGGCACCTTTTAAATAAGCAAGTCACCAAAAAAACACCTGTGTAAGAAATGTCAGAATGAAATACAGTAAAACTGAATTTGTACTGAGAATCTTTATCAGAGTGCATAACTCTTTTCACATGTGGCCTGTTATCCTAGTGTTAAGATCATAGGGGAAATAATTGCTAAAGGGTGCATCCAGCTGAGTCTCTATTTTATCTCTGTATTTATGAGAAAGAAGATAAAGGTCAGTGATCAATCTAGCAAGATCAAAGTTTATGGCTCCTGTAGGATGTTAGTCTTGAACTTGGATAATACAGGTTGCTTTTCCTAATGAAGTGATAAAATATGAAGATGAACAATTTAAACGTTCTCTAATTAAAAAAAATCAGTGGAATATAAAGGCATCACAATTAATTAGTCTCTTTTTAAATTTTCCTCTTTGATTTACTCTCAGGTTATTATAATATGAAACGAGTATGTTTAGCAAATGGAAAAAAGAAACATTTAAATCTACTGAAGATCAAAGTAATTAAAACAATTGAATATAACAGCAGAAACTCAGGCTGTGAAAACACGTTCAGTGGAATCATTCAATTAACGTGATTCAGTAATATCATTTAAAACAAGAATTTACTCAGAAAACATTAGGTGCTTGATGGGATATGCCATTCTCTGTTTTGGCAGAGGTAATGTCAAACTTGGTATATAAAGATAGATAGTAAGAAATCAGAATGTGTACCTATATTACATTTTAAAAAATGTTTCAAGAAACTTACCTTCCATTATACTTTGTTAAATGGAATCCTGCATAGAAAAAAAAAAGTAAATATGTTATTTATATTTATGTATTCATTTACTTATAGCCTTCTCTCATATGGGAATATTCTAAGGAAGCTAAATATTACATTAATGTGCATATATTTCACATTTTTAATAAATGAGGTTATTCTAAATTTTCTATATCTAAAAAATTAAAGAGTATTTATTGCTTTTAAATAATGATTATTGATTATTCTTGATTATTAATGATTATACACCAATATAGATCAATATTTTAATTTTCACATGCATTGATAGGCAAAATGTAATAGGGAATGTAATCTAAGTACTACCTTTGCTAGATGAAATTTACACTATCCCACTGTATTGAAATGTAAATATACTTGTCTAAAATGCAACTATTTGAAAGTGTTATATAAACAAATTTACATGTGGTTTAATCTATACTGGTAGATCATTATTGACATTAAAGTAAATTAAATAGACTGTTTATATGAATGGTTTGACATTTATATCAATTTTCCTAAAACTACAAGAAATATTTATTTTGTGTTGGAGATTAAAAAAAAAAATCTAAAATTGTGTCTAAATTTTACTGAAAAATGTAAAGTTTCTAATAACATGTGAATCTATCAATGACCACAATACTCAAAGGGGATCTTTATAGAGTATTAACTGTCAACTATATTTTAAGCAGTGTAGCATAACATCTTGACAAGGTCAATAAAAGTGACTTTCAAAATATTTAGAATTGATGACATATGCAACAGTAATTAATTCTGTACAATTTTATGTTTTAGAGACAACCTTGGATGACAGGAACCATACAGACTTTAGAAAAAAAAATTAAAAAGGAGATTCTCATTCCAGTTGAGCTCTCAGCTAGGAGTGATTTCTACAGGCTGGAGACCTAACTTCATTGTCTCAGTTTCTTGTTTGTAAAATACTAATAAATGGGCATTACTAGGCTTGGGTGCTAGTAACTTTTAACGTACTGATTCTCATTTAGAATATGTTGAATAGGAAATAAAATAGCCATTTTCCTATTTTCTTTCTGTCTTCTCCTTTTAAATAAATTAGCTTTTCTTAAGTTTTTTATTGTAATTCAAAGGTAAGAGATGAAATAGTCCAGCATAAAAACATTCACTATTTTACATGTGGGAATATAATATAACATTTGTAAAGTTGGTAAAATGAAAGAATTTTAAGGCAGCCTAAAGTGTATAATTGTCATTGTTAGCCAAAGCATCTAAAGAAACAGCTTACCCTGGAAACTAAGTGTCACTATTAATGTGCCATCAAGTTCGTGTTTATTGTATCATAGATACCTAGAATTTAAGACTTGAGAAGTATGCTTACATATACTCACATAAACATATTCTCTATATTTTGCTTAATTTTTTTATGATGCTCACCTTCCTGAATTTTCAGTCTGTAAATAAAGCTATTGCATATATGCTAATGAACAGGAAGTGTAGGGGTGTACTACAATTGAGTATGTATAAGCAGGGTTTAGAGGCCTCATGAGCAGGTGACACATGCTAAAACGACTAAAACTTCTATTTTGTAACTTGTAAAAATCTAAGGTGTTTGTTCCACTTATTTTCTTTCTCTTTGTCCTTCTCTTCCTGCATGCGTCCATGCTTGCTTGCACACAGTCGTTTCGATAGAAGGTAGTCACCAGTAATTGATTAACTTCATATTCTAACCCCCAGGGGTGGCCTACAAATTCATGAAATTTTTTTCTTTTAAAGAACAATAATCTCAGGTTATGCAGACCTCCTTAATAGTATCCAGAAGTCTGATCAGAGGAGGGATGGAAACAGCTTTGACCATCAGATCTCACCTCCCGTATACGGACTTTACTCATTAAAGCTCCTAGTTATGTTCAAAGGCAAGTCGGATTTGAGAATTTGCCTCTCCCACCCTCTCATTTTGGCAAAATCAAATGAAGCCTTTCTCTCCTCCTAAGCGCTGTTGTATCAGTGTTTGGCTTATTGTGTGTTGGATACTCAAACGTAAATTTGGGGATTTTATAACAATTTCACTCTTCTGCAATCAATCGAAATAATTTTTCTCTTTTGATTTTTGTTTGTTCTTTCACTAACTCACAATGATTCTACCAGAAAAGTTTTAATCAGTAAAGATATAGCTTGAATTTTTATACGTAAGCCCCTAGTTTCAAACTCAAATGTACATGTCAAAATTAAAAAAGTTTAAAAATATCTATGCATGACTCTCCATTTACACATTTATGGCGAAAGTACAAGATATGGAGAGCATGGCTTGTGTGCTGTGTGTGTACTGATTATTTCATACATATGTGTTCTTTAGACTATGTCTATGTATAGAAATAAATTCTAAGATTAGTGCTCTTTCTGAAATCATAAAAAAGCTCAAGAACTGCTAATCATAGGAATAAAAAAATCCCTATATAATATTTCATTAGTTATATTTTCAGCTCGACTGCTTGTATTAACTATATTTTTTGGAAAGTATATTTTCAGATAGTTATTTACCAAATATCTGATTTACTATAATAAATTTGCGTTAACTAACAAAAAGTTCAAATATTGAATGCATTAAACAAAATCTAGTTACTTGTCTAGGAAATTTTCAAAGCAAAAACTTACTCAAATATTAGTTGACATTGCAAAAATAGTTCTGAACATAATGTCTCAGGCATAACATAAAACTTTTAAAATGAAAGTGAGAATTTATGTCTTACATGTAAAATAAATTGAGTCAGTATTAGAATAGTATTTTGACCTTGAACAGAAATAAGTCTGTAATAATCATCCCTATGTTGCCAAAAGGAGAGAAAATAACACTATATAAATATTTAATCAAACAATCCTTTATCTTTTCATCTAATAATATAGATATTCCCCTAAAATTTACCATTCTGAGAATTTGTACATGATCTATTACTAGCCATATACAAATAATTGTAGTGGACATTTTTGAGGGGTCGTTTTAGAACTTTTCAAAATTCCCCTGAGAATACTTTGTTAGAATAGGTGCCACATATTTTTAGAATCTTGATTTGGGGGCTATATAAGTATAGCTTATAAGTATTTCTAGTTATTTAAAATGAATAATTTTAAAAAGAACAGCAGTAAGGCAAGAAATAAAAGATTATAAACTTTTAGATTTTTATTTAAGGCAGTTAATGTACTTTACAGTCGTGTACCATGTAAGGAAGTTTCAGTCAATAATCCACTGCATATAGGATGGTGGTTCCATAAGATTGCAATGGAGCTGTAAAATTTCTGCCCTCTAGTGATGCTGTAGCCATCATAACTTCATAGCACAACACATTACTTACATGTTTGTGGTGATGCTGGTGTAAATGAACCTACCTTCATAGCACATACAATTATGTATATAGTATGTAATACTTAATAATGATTATAAACTACCATGTCACTGGTTTATGTACTTACTCTACTATATTTTTTATAGTTATTTTAGGTAATCCTTCTACTTACAAAAGAAAAAGTTAAGTGTAAAAGAGCCTCAGGCTGGTCCTTCGGGAGACATTCCAGTAGAAAGCATTGCTGTCATAGGAGATGACAGTTCCACACATGTTGTCCCACATGACCTTTCAGTGGGCAAGATGTGGAGGTTGAAGACAATAATATTGATGATCCTGATTCTCTGTAGGCCTAGGCTAACGTGTGTTTGTGTCTTCATTTTTAACAAAATGTTTTAAAAGTAAAGAAAATAACAATTAAAAAGTGAGGCAGGTAGATCACCTGAGGTCAGGAGTTTGCGAGCAGCCTGGCCAACGTGGCAAAACCTCGGCTCTACTAAAAATACAAAAAAAAAAAAAATTGGTCAGATGTGGTGGCGTGCACCTGTAGTCCCAGCTACTTGGGAGATTGAGGCAGGAGAATCTCTTGAATTCAGGAGGCTGCGGTTGCAGTGAGCCGAGGTCCACCATTACACTCCGAGCCTGGGTAATGAGCTAAACTTCATCAACGAGAACAACGAAAGAAGAAAGAAGAAAGAGAGAAAGACAGAGACGAGAGAGAGGAAAGAAGAGGAGAGAGGGAGGGAGGGAGGAGGAGGGAGAAGGAAGGAAGAAGAAGGAAGAAGGAGGAAGGAAGGAAGCGAGGAAGGAAGGAAGGAAAAAAACTTATAGAACAAGGATGTAAAGAAAAAAAATGCATTGTTAACATGCCTCTCCCACCTGGAAAGACAAAATAATGTGTAGAGACTCAAACTGTGAACTTTTTTCCAATAAGAGATTCAGGAACTTAGAAAAACTAAAAGAAACTTCAGACTCTTTGGAAAAAAGCGCAGGCTGCATGCTGTCCTGTAAGCCTGGTTGATAAACTGCCTCCAGGATATATACTTCCAGCAGGGAACCTGGCAACCCAGGCCATGTGGGAAGGCCTTACCTCTACCCAGCACTGGAACTGATTTAGGCAGCAATGGGGAATATAAAAGTAGGTACAGCTACTGGAAGAGACTTGCATGCATTCCTAGTCTCCAGTGTAAATGGGAGGGAGACCATTTCTGACTCTACCTCACAGGGGACCTCAGGAAAGTCTGCCAGCTAAATAAGGCAGTGGTCACGGCTTCAGAGAAGCTCCCAGATAAAATTCACAATATAATCTTGAGTGGGCATGAACTCCCTTGGCCAGAACCAGGGGTTGAGTGGGAAGTGTGCTGCAGCTACGAGTGATGGAGCTGGGCACCCTTGCTTAACAGTTGGTCAAGCAGGGGCATGATCTTAAAGGCAGGCATATGGCTTGGGACAGTTTTGAGTTCCAAGTGTAGAAAGTCTGGAATTTAGTTAGCTGTAGCTAGCAGAATACTGCAGGAGTGAGACCTGCCTTGTCAACTACATGAGCGCTGGGTGGGGCTTACCATCGTCTGTTACGCTGAACTCCCCCATGTAAACTGTGCAACAAAGGCAGCCTTGCTTCCCCCTAGAACATTATCCTAGCATCCTGAGAATCCTCACCCAATCCCCACAGGGGCTATTGCTTTCCATGAATGGAAAGACAGAATACGGAACTATCTGATCCAGCCCCCACCTGGCTTTGCACCTGAGCCTGCCCTGGTAGTTTACCACAAAGGACAGAAATTTTGGGGATCTCCATGTCCCTGGTCATTCATTGAGAATCCAGAATAACTCCCTAGGTAACACAAGGCAAACATAAATCCCACTGTTACTATCATAACTGTCACTCTTTTGCAACTGTCATCTTCTGGCTGGAGGTCAACAGGCACAGTTCATTATGGCATTTCATTATGGAGAAAATTTGTGCATAACCTCAGCTGCCATCATAACCTGGCTAACCAGGAAGTCCTGAGTCTTTCCATAGGACCAGTTAATTTCTACTACAACCAGCAATGGAAAAATTCAGCACACTAAGGCTATTTATAACCAAGGAATCTCACAGGGTCTATGTCACTAACCTGTCACCCCCATCAGAGCTGGTGTTGGTACCCACTGCTGTGAGACTTGAGGACAGGTAACATCACTGGATCCCTTGCAGACATTCCCAAGCATCCACTTGAAGTGTGGCAGTCCCTCTGTATGGCTAGACCCAGAGAAGCAGCAGCATACACAGTAGTATAGCTCTCAGGATTTTCCACTCCTAGGGGAAAGAAGAATGTACCACATCAAAGGAACATTCCATGGCACAAAACAATCCAGATGGCAGGTTTTGAGTACCAAAAGTTTTCTGCTGGTGGGAAGTTTCTTTTAGTAGAGGCATAGATGCAGTGCTGGGCTCAGCAGGGAATACCGGCAGCTCTATATAAATAGTCAGGCAGTCCTGATATTTGTGAGAGGTCTGGGAGAAGAGGACTTCTTTTCCCACTCATTCATCATACAGACACGACTGGGACTTCTCTCATGGGACCTCAGCATGGGCGTACCTATAAAGTCTTTCTGGAACACTTCAGGGTGACTGCATCACCACTAAAGGAGTGCTCTTCAGGTTCAGGCTTGCATGAGGGGTAAGGTAACAATTCCTCTCTACTTGAAAGTCCTCTCGACATCCCTACAGATGAAAAGAGGTGACTGTCTGACCTGAATAGCCAGAATACTGGGCCAAGAGGATGACCGTGATATGGTTTGGCTCTGAGTCCCCATCCAAATCTCATCTCAAATTGTAATCTTTACATGTTGGGGAGGGGCCTGGTGAGAAGTGATTGAATCATACAGGAGGACTTCCCCCTTGGTGGTCTCCTGGTAGTGAGTGAGTTCTCATGAGATCTGGTTGTTTGAAAGTGTGTGACACTTACACCTTTGCACTTTCTCTCTCTCTCTCTCTCTCTCTCGCTCTCTCGTTCTCTCTCCCCCTCTCTCCTGCTGCCATTGTGAAAAAGGTCCTTGCATCTCTTCCACCTTCTGCCATGATTTTAAGTTTCCTGAGGCCTCACAGTCATGCTTCCTGGTAAGCCTGTGGAACTGTGAGTCAATTAAACCTCTTTTTTCTTCGTGAATTACCCAGTCTCAAGTAGTTCTTTATAGCAGTGTGAGAATGGATTAATAAAACTAGAACATGGATCACTTTCCTGCCAGCCTGGCAGGAGAGCTGAGGTAGTTCCCACTCTTCCCTCTGATAAGACCTCAGCATGTTACACTGGGTAATCCCTCAGCCACCCTCTCAAGACTGTGACCTCTGTCTACCATTGCATATTGCATTTACCCACCTGCTTTAGCGACAACTTGTTTCTACCCAGGGACACCTTCCCTACTGGACTGAAGCCAGAACTATTCAACCCAATAAATAGAATACTGGGAAAAAATAAATAAAGTGAAAACCACAAGGGAATGAGATAGGGTTCAACAGACCTCTGCCATTCTAGCTTCATAGGAGACAGTAAACTTGCTCATACACTGAGCACATTTCTACTACAACCACCATCTGAGGAATCCACATACACAGGCCCTCTATAACCAAGGAGCTGATACAGAGCTGATAAATGCCTATCATCGATGGGCATTTAGGTTGGTTCCAAGTCTTTGCTATTGTGAACAGTGTTGCAATAAACATACGTGTGCATGTGTCCTTGTAGTAGAATGATTTATAATCCTTTGAGTATACACCCAGTAATGGGATTGCTGGATCAAATCCTATTTCTGGTTCTAGATCCTTGAGGAATTGACACACTGTCTTCCACAATGGTTGAATTAATTTACACTCCCACCAACAGTGTAAAAGTGTTCCTATTTCTCCACATCCTCTCCAGCACCTGTTGTTTCCTGACTTTTTAACGATCACCTTTCTAACTGGCGTGACATTGTATCTCATTGTGGTTTTGATTTGCATTTCTCTAATGACCAGTGATGATGAGCTTTTTTTCATATGTTTATTGGCCACATAAATGTCTTCTTTTGAGAAGTCTATTCATATCCTTCATCGACTTTTTGATGGGGTTGTTTTTTTCTTGTAAATTTATTTCAATTTCTTGTAGATTCTGGATATTAGACCTTTGTCAGATTGATAAATTACAAAAATTTTCTCCCATTCCATAGAAAAACTCTAAGAGTAGTGAGACAAAAACATCAGATAACCTGTAAAGGTAAATCTATCAGACCAGCAGCAGACTTCTCTGCAGAAACTTTATATGCCATAAGGTATTGAGGTCATATCTTCAGCCTACTTAAACAGAATAACTGTCATTCAAGAATTTTGGATCCAGCATAACTAAGTTTTATAAAAGAAAGAGAAATAAAGTCATTTTCATTAGAACAAATGCTGAGGGAATTTGCCACTAAAATATCAGCCCTATGAGAAATGCTAAAAGGAGTTCTAAACCTGCAAACAAAAGCTTGACATGCACAAAATAAAACCTCTTAAAAACAGGAAACTCACATGGCCTATTCAACAGTAACACACTGCAGAAAAAAAAAATATATTGAACAGTCAACTTGATGACTGGAACAGTACCTCACATCTCAAAACTAACACTGAACATACGTGGCCTAAATGCTCCACTTAAAACATACAGAGTGATAGGATGGATGAAACATCACAAGCCAAATATATGCTGTCTTCAAGAGACTCATCTAACATTTAAGGATTCTTAAAAACTCTAAGTAAAGGAGTGGAAAAAGATATTCCATGCAAATAGAAACCAAAGCAACTGGAGTAGATATTTTTTTATCAGATAAAATGGATGTTAAAACAACAAAAGTAAAGAAAGACAAAGAACGTCATTATATAATGATAAAAGGATCAGTGTAATAAGAAGATATTACAATCATAAATTTATATGCACCTAATACTGGCACTTTCAGATTCATAAAGCAATTAGTTCCACACCTAAGGAATGAATAGATAGAAACACACTAATAGTGGGAATAACAGCACCAGACAGGTTGTCAAGACAGAAAGTCAGCAAATAAACAATGGACTTAAGCTATAGTCTGCAACAAATGGACCTAACACATATTTACATTAAATTCTATCCAAGAACTGCAGTATATACATGCTTCTAATCAGCACATGGAACATTCTCCAAGACAGACCATATGACAGATCACAAAACAACTCCCAGTCAATTTTAAACATCAAAATGATATCAAGTATCTTCCTAGACCACAGTGGGATAAAACTGGAAATCAACTCCAAAAAAAACCCTCAAAATTAAAACAAACACATGGAAATTAAACAATATTTTAGTAAAAAAAGGTCAAACAGCTAAAAGAAAATATAGTTTATAAAGTAACAAATTTTCAGTAAGCTAAGTTTAATGTATTCTTGAAGAAAAAAAATTATTTTATAATATAAATTTACCCTGAAATGCCTAATGTATAAGACATCGACTGTAGTGTAGAGTAATATCCCAGGCTTAACATTCACTCACTTAATCACTCACTGAGGCAAGATGGCCGAATAGGAACAGCTCCAGTCTCCAACTCCCAGACGAGTGACACAAAGACCGGGATTCTGCATTTTCAACTGAGGTTAAACTGGTTCATCTCACTAGGGAGGTGCCGGACAATCGGTGCTGGTCAGCTGCAGCAGACCGAACAGCAAGAGCTGACGCGGGCGAGGCATCGCCTCACCTGGGAAGTGCAAGGGGGAAGGGAATCCCCTTTTCCTAGCCAGGGGAACTGAGACACACCAACACCTGGAAAATGCGGTAACTCCCACCCCAATACTGCGCTTTAAGCAAACAGGCACACCAGGAGATTATATCCCACACCTGGCCAGGAGAGTCCCCACGCCCACGGAGCCTCCCTCATTACTAGCACAGCAGTCTGCGATCTACCCGCAAGGCAGGCAGCGAGACTGGGGGAGGGGAACCCGCCATTGCTGAGCTTAAGTAGGTAAACAAAGCCTCTGTGGAAGCTCAAACTGGGTGGAGCTCACAGCAGCTCAAGGAAACCTGCCTGGTCTCTGTAGACTCCACCTCTGGCGACAGGGCAAAGTAAACAACAACAAAAGCACAGAAACCTCTGCAGACCAAACGACTCGTCTGACAGCTTTGTAAGAGAGCAGTGGATCTCCCACACAGGTTGAAATCTGAGAAGGGACAGATGCCTGCTCAAGGGGGTCCCTGACCCCTGAGTAGCCTAACTGGGAGACATCCCCCACTAGGGGCACTCTGACACCCTACACCTCACAGGGTGGAGTACACCCCTGAGAGCCA